TTGTTAATTACCACTGCAAGATATGATAAAATAATATTATGAAATATTAATTTTGTGTAAATTTCGAATCATCGCTAGAAGATTTATAATTGTGTTACCGAACACGTTATGTCAGACGACGTCGTAAAGATAACATAATAAAGAGTAAAATATACTAAATGTCATTAAAATGTATAAAATAATTATTTTGATCATTAATTTTTTAAAAATTATAAAATGATCATTAAATATATTAAATTATTATAATTATTTTATTGTAATATTATAATAAATCATAAAAACTTGCTAAATTTAATAACTATTTTGTAATATTTTAATACTAAAATTTAGTAACTGTGTAATGTATTTAATAATTATTTTATAACCATTTAAAGATTTTAAGGATCTAAATTTCGAAGATGTATATCATTTAAATAATAATACAGTATGAGCAGAGCTATGCACTGATCTTTACCTAAAAATTTTCTCTTAACAAATAATATAATTATAATTAATTAACGATTTAATGGTATTTGAGACCCTCATATTTTTAAAAAGAATCAAAACGGCCCTCGAACTATTTTTGTACTCAATGTAACCCTCAAATTAAGAAAAACTCAATGTGACTCTTTGACTAACGGTTTCCATCATTGACTGTTACAATGCTGCCTAACGTGGCAATCTATGCTGACTCATAACGAGACACTTAAGGACTAAATTGATTTTTTTTTGTCGAGTTTGAGTGCTAAATTATTTTTTCAAAAGTTAATGAGCTTGTTTAATTTAAAAAAAAAAAATCAAATATTTAAAAAAATTAAATATTAAATATTAAAAATGAAAAAGTAATCGCTAAAATAATTATATATATGGGATAGGATCCTGTTACACAATGTAGGATGAGTGAAAATAGAACGCTGAAATTAACAGTAAGAAATGAGAAAATATTTACTATAAAAAAAGGAGTCAATCTTATCCATCTATTTTCACTCATACAACGGAGTTTTACACAGATTTAGGATTGTTGGATTAGTGAAAACAACTTTAGGATCCACTTACACAAGTAAAACCTAGAATATATTCTCATTTTCTACTGTTATATTAACTATCTGTTTTCACTCATCAAACTGTTCTAAATCTGTTTAAAACTAAAAAAGTTTTACATTGTGTAATAGGATTATATTCCTATATATATATTAAAATTTTGGTTTGCCCTCCTCTTTGGATTGCTTTTGATTTGAATAATTGGTCTTTGCCTTTTTCTTGTGTGGTGGTGTATCATCTAAAATATGTACTAAGATTGTAAATTATGCATCAAAATCAATATGTTTCTGTAGCATAAATCAACTAACTATAGAAAATAATCATAAATAATATGAATTGAATGGTTAGAGGTGAGGAATTTAAAAATTACAAATAATCACATGTATTTTAAGTGGGGTAAATTATATGAATAGTCTTCTATGTTTTTAGTCTGATCGATTTTGATCATCGATTTAAAAAAATAATTTTAATATATTACATTATCGATTCGTTCGATTTTAATATCTCAACCGTTAATTTCTATTAAACCCTTAACTAAAGTGTTACGAGAAAATTAAAAAAAATATCTTCTTCTTCTTCAGAAACTGCAACAGCTTATCGATCGAGCTTTAACCGTCACCAGCTTCATCACTGTCTTCTGATCACTTCCTCGTTTCGACAATGGCGGCTGCAGATCTTCCTTCTTTGCTGCATTATCATTCGATCGACCTTTAACATTGGTTATACTCCTTAGCCTCCCTTTTCCCAAATGATGCTCGCAGAGCGAGTAACGGACGAGTTTTTGTCGGCAACACCGCCATCTCCTTCCATTAACTCGACTGTACCTCGAACATTCCATTAACGCACCGTTTCGATCTCTGACATTTTTGACACTCTTTTCATTATCGTTATCTTTATGCATTATTCTTTTTTTCTTCAATGAAAACGCCTTATCTCCTTCGCACCAGCTCCCCTCAGCTTTATTCAATTCAACAAATAACAACACCCTTCAATAATCAACATTATATAAAAACACTATAATTTGATTTCGTACCTTGATGATATAGAGATCCAGTTCCTGGTTCTTCACCAGAAACACTTTTCTTCCTAGAAAAGCATATAAAAATAAGCAAACCCAGAAAATTCATAGCCAGATATTGGCTAAAATGGGACCATTTCAATGTGCACCACGTAGAAAAACAATGAAGATTTGCTATAATCAAAATGTCCCGTCAGAAAATGTTGTCCATCTTAGTTTTATGAACTTTTAAAATGGACGAGATGTTACTACCAGGAAATAATTATTTTATATTTATTATTCAATTTTAATTAATTAATTTTATTTGTTAGATATGGAAACACATTAAATATATGGATTTACTGAATCTATTCTGTAACTAAAATAAATATATATAAAATCTAACGAGAATGTTTTGTTATAGAAGTTAGTCTTATTAAAAATATATCTGAATTACAATAAAGATTTATAATCATAATCGTAAATTAAACATATAATTAGTATAATCATTGACAGAAAAACTAATTACTAAAGATCACTCAAGGATCATACAATGAAAGATTAAAAATCTAACAAAAAAACTCGAACAAAGATAGATACAAAAAGATTTTGATCTCATCGGCAAATGAACCATACAAGGGGATCAAACTACTGAAAAATCACTGACAAACCACAAATCAAAGTCGAGCGACATGAAAAAACTATCTACGAATGCAAATCGAATATTCAAATCCAATATGACGGTCCAAAGTAGGGAAGATCAACATGATAACAGATAAATTCCATCTTGATCAGCCATGACGATGTCAAATCAATCCTTAGAAAAAGATAAATAAAAATAACGACCAAATGATTGAAAACGTGTCAAAAAGGCATAAGTAAACTTATCATAAAAGCAAATGAATAGTGTTATAATAGCATACTTATTAAAAATAAAAGAAAAATAAAGATGCAATATAAGAAAATAAAAGGACAATAAAAATTATCGACGATCGACGATCAACGATCAACAATCAACATTAAAATTGATACCATCATCGATCAATAAAGATGAAAAGGGAAAGAGATACCCGAAAATATCAAAACATAATGTTATCGTTTTTATCTTAATGTACTGAATGTGCAATTTATAAAATAAGAAGCTATACTATATATTGTTCTATAACTAGCTTGGTCTTAAAAAATTAACGAGAATTAGATATGAAGTTATATGGCATATATCATTAAACCATATTGTATAGGTGATGGAGAACCGGTGTGTATGGAGATGAGATGCTTGTTATCGTTATTGGTCTAGTGAGAGAAGCTAGATGAGGACTGTTGCGGCATTTGATTTAACGGTGTTTCTTGCAGCGCTTTTATTAACGTTGGGAATGTTTTTAATGGCACTAAAAACGTGGTTATAAGATTAAAAAAGTCGTTAAAAACCTGTTTTACTGTAGTAACAACAACATCAATGTGATCAATCGGTGGACTGTTCCGAGATAGACATGGAGGCTAGCTGTGTGGTTTTTCAAAGTCAATTGGGTTACACATTCGTCCTTACTGTCGAATTGTGGAGCAGTTTTGAAGGGCTGCAGTTAGCTCGTGCTCGTGGTTTTGATCATCTACTGGTTCAAACCGATAATGCCGATGTTTTCTAACTCCTTACTGGTTTATCTGCGTCCTCGAGCTTCATCTCCCTAGTTCGTGCAATAACATGGCGGTGCAACAGCCATGGCTTTGTTCGGTTTAAAAAGATATACCGTGAAGTAAACAGGGCTGTTGAGGCTAGGTCTGACTTTTCCGGATAGTCTTTCAGTTTATGATGCCCCACCCTCTGGTTTACATGGTATCTTTTTACGTGACCTTAATGGCCCTCCAGCGTCCAGGCTTTGGTGAGGAACTTGAGCGCACAGGTTCGATGTCCGGCCTCCAACACTTCTTTTCGGATTTTCAAGCATTTTCAAGGGTTCAACGGGACTTAACTATTGAGGGATTAAAATTGAACTAATGGATAACTTGAGTGACTAAAAGCACTCTTTTTTTTGAATCGATAACAAAAATTGGATGGTATAGGAGTTTTCAATCGGTCAGTTCGGTACCGAACTGAACTTTCAAAATTTCATTAACCGTTAATTAAACAAATTTTTTTCAAAAATAATTAATCAAACTGAATAAAGTTCGGTTAACCAAATTAACCTAAGTTTAAAAATAATATATATTAAATATTTATATTTTCAATTAATTCGAGTAATTCAGCCAGTTAATTCAGTTACAATTGAAATTTAAACACTCTAAGGCTAGGTTATATATAAATAATATATATAATATTTAAAATTTTAAAAAATTTAGTTAATTCGGTTAACTGACTGATTTTGAACCTAATTAACCAAGCCATTAATCAAAAACAATTTCGATTCGATCGGTTAAATCGATTTTAACCAAAGTTTGAACACCAAAAACATAAAAGATCATCCTTATAGTTTACCATTTTAAGTGCTACAACATGTTTATTAAATTTATAGTAATTTGATTTAAATCGATGATAAAATATGTAATTTTATTTAAAAATATCATAATATATTTTTAATTAAAATCATATTCTTTTATTTTTAATATTTATTTTTAAAGAGAAAATTTGATTTTTTTTATTTTAAATGTAAAAAGGTGTTTGAGGCCCTTGTATTTTAAAATAATAAATGTGAGTCTTCGATCAACATTTTTTATTGTTAACTGTTATGATAGTTCACGATGCTAATGTGACGATTCATGGTGTTGATAAATAAGATTTAAATATATCATTAATTCATAGTAAAATTGGATAATAAAGTAGGGGCGTGACTAAAGTTTTCAGTAAAAACTAATATAGGGATTTAATTTTGTAAAAAAAAAGTATAAGGATTAAAACGTAATTGTGAAATAGTACAAGATGCTTAACGTATTTAAACCAACGAACAATTATTGTTTGCTTTTACCTTTTTACCCATTATCTGATTCAACATTTACAAAGCGCGGAAAGGCAAAAACCCCTTCGCCATAAACCCATCCTTTCTCGTTATGTAAGAAGGAAGGGGGAAAAAAGGAAAAAAAAAACTCTTTGGAAATATTCCTCAAAAATCCAACAAGCGCCGGGATCTACCCTCTGCTATAGGATCGCCAATGAGAAGGGCCTCCTCAATCACCTCCTCCGTCCTTTCTAGGACCTTCTCCAACGTTCACGGCGGAGGGGCAGTCAACCTTCACCCTCGTCTCCTCCGGGTGGCGCTTTTTTGCAGCAGTAGAACCAACAATTCCAACTCTCGCCACCGTTGGTTCTCTCTCATCCTCGATTCCTTTTCCAAAAGCTCCGGTCAATCCGTATCTCTCAGCCTTGCCTGCGTTATCGCATCTGTGGCCACTGCTGCTTCGGTCTACGCCAAGGAGCGGCCACCAGTCGAAATCATGCCAAAGGAGGTCGTTCTTTATCAGTATGAGGCTTGCCCATTCTGCAATAAAGTTAAAGGTAGTATATCTTCGTTGTACTCTTCGTTGCATTAGTTCCAAATAAAAATTACGAATCCAATCAAATTTAAATCCATTACTTCATTTGATTACTAGCTTAGTTTTTGCCTGCTCCGGAAAAATGTAAAGTAAAAAAATGAAATTATTTGGATACTCGCCGTCTTTGAATGATTAAATTGTTAATTTTAGTGAATTGTAAAGGAAATATTAAGATGCATACATTTGAACTTTTCTCTATACACACGCACTTTTTTTTAAAAAAAAAAAATCAGATATGTTTTGGTTTTTAGATTCCAGCAACTTTAAGGAAGTATATAAAATATATAGCAGAAAATGCAACTACCATGGAGAAAACAATTTCATAACAAATGCAATTTTTTTTCTTTGAGGAAACAATAATACTAGATATGTCTTGGCTTATATATTCTAGCAACTTTAAGGAAGTAAAAAAATTATTTAGTAGCAGGAGCAACTACCATGGAGAGGAATCTTTTAAAAAATTGAGAACATAACAAATGCATTTTTTTCTTTGATGAAACAATTTTATTAGATATTTTTTGCATTGTAGTCACTTGTTCATTTTTAATCAACTATAGTTTTTCTTACTAGAATTTGCTTTTTTCTTAGCAACTTTAGGAAGTTGAAAGCCAATATCATAAGTTTCAAAACAACTAATTAAAATCTTAATAATTTCATGATTTTTTATGGATTCTCAGCATTCTTGGACTATTATGATATACCGTACAAGGTGGTGGAAGTCAATCCCATTAGTAAGAAAGAGATTAAGTGGTCTGATTACAAGAAGGTGCCTATACTGATGGTCGATGGTCAACAGCTGGTGGATTCATCAGGTACTTATTGTCGAAATTGTTCATAGTTTTATGTTTTCATCAGATACTTTATATTAGCCCTAATGACCTAACCATTTGTTTAAGTTATTGACTTTATTTAAGCTTATTAGTTCCAATCATTGACTGAACCTGCATTTGGAACATGCAGCTATAATTGACCAACTGGGTGAAAAGATCCTTCCCGGAAAAACAAAGACTCCTGTTGCTGATCAAGATGAAGAAACCAAATGGCGTAGGTATGGACTGTCTTCTTTTCAATTGTAATTAAGTTATCGATTTTACAATATCACAACAATATTATTTAGTTCTTAAGAACTCAATCTTGATCCAACATTTGTTACATTCTTAAGGAGGATTTAGGTCTAAGTTTGAACCCCTGCTACTAGTATCAAAACCTATTTATTTCTTATTAGAATAATTTTATCTAAGCAAAAAGTATTGACGGAACTAAGTTTAGTTTCATAACAAGTTTCAAGTTTAATATGTGAGATATGGGCCTTTTTACTGTTGAATATTTAGTTGATTGCTCCTAGCATTCCTGTTAATTTTTTATTGCCTGGTCTTGAATGATAAGAATTTGACATCAGTTATTTACGCTTTGACAAACCTGAATAATTTGTATAGCTATTTATACCAATTGTCTTTTGAATTGAATCCCATGCATGCAAGCATGAAATCTATTCATAGTAAAGATGTTAAGTATCAGTATACGAGAGCATATATGCAAATATTCCTGTTAGTATGTAATGTGTGTACCAAACTATACATGTGCCATTTTTTCTTGTGTATGAGTTGCTATGAATTGATGATCACTTTCGTTAATACATATTGCTTCTTTAATGCAATTCATTGTCTTCCTTTTTCTTTAGGTGCTTTTAGAATAAGTATTTCATCTTTGGAACACTAATAATGATGTCCTTATGTAGGTGGGTTGACAACCACTTGGTGCATGTCTTATCCCCAAACATATACCGCAACACTTCTGAGGCTCTTGAGTCTTTTGACTACATCACTAGCCATGGTAAATTAATGCATAGTTTTATATTAAATAAATGTAGCTCCCTTCCATCCATTTACAAACCTTGCTGCTTTCACATTAATTTCAGTCAATGATTGATCCATTTTACCCCTAAACTTGGGAATAATTATGTCAACTACCATGTTTTACATAGAAGGTCCTTTAATAAGTAGCGAGAAAGTAATTTATCTATTTATGGATCTTAAGAATTATCAATTATCTAGCTTCTATGCATGTTCCATTACTTGAAATGTTTTGAAATGCCTATGAATTCTTATGTACTTTCCTAAGCAAATTGCAACATTTTAAAGGTCAATAAGCTTTGGAAAAATCAGCATATTTCTTGTCCTTGTTTAAGGTTCCAGCTTCGGTGTACAAAACCCTCAACTCAATTATGTCCAATTTTTTATGGGGAGGAGGAAATGGTAAAAATAAGATTCATTGGGTTAGTAGGTCCACTATGTGCAAACCAAAGAATGAGGGTGGTTTAGGAGTTTTGAATACCAACATGATGAACAAAGCACTTCTAGGGAAATGGTCTTGGAGGTTTGCCAATGACAGGAATGCTGTTTGGAGGAAAATGATATGTACTAAATATAACATAGATTCATCCTTATTATTGTTTGAAAGTAAGGTTCCACCTAAAGCTTCTTGGATTTGGAGAGATGCGGTAAATAACCATTTCAAAGAAGACTTTATTGGTTCCAAGTTTAGAAGCATGTTCAGTTTTCAAGTTGGTGATGGCAAAATTATTCGGTTCTGGCAAGATGTTTGGGCTATGGATCATCTACTTTTGGTCATTTTCCCTAGATTGTTTTCTATTTCCTCAAATAAGATTGGTAAATTATTTGAGTTTGGCGAATATAGCTCAATGGGCTGGTTTTGGAATGTTCAATTGAGAAAGGATTTAAATGATTGGGAATTTGAGCAGTGGTCTAACTTGATGGCTGTCATTTCGAATTTTTCCCTATCTATAGAATCTTCTGATGGGCTGGTTTGGAAAGGCACTGGGGATGGGGTATATTCTGTTAAATCTTGTGTTAACCTCTGTTATTCGGGTTCGGAGGAGGTCCATTTTTGGAAGAATATAGTTTGGAGGGGCCTATTGCCTCCAAGAGTGGAGTCATTTGTGTGGCAAGTTGTTCTTCAGAAGCTGGCAGTGAAGACAAAACTGGTGAAAAGAGGAGTTCAGGGTATTGAAGATGTGTTATGTCCACTTTGCAAGTTGGTGGAAGAGTATTCATCTTATTTATTTTTTACTTGTTCGGTGGTGTGGTATTTATGGAATAAATTTATGAAGTTTTGGAAGATTAATTCTGTTTTTCATGCTAATGCCAAAAGATTTCTCCTAGCCTGGGAGGATTTGAAGAATAACTCAGCTATATGGTCATTTATTCTAGGGGTTGCCCTTTGGACCACTTGGAAAATAAGGAATTCTATTGTGTTTGAAGGGGGAAGTTAGATCAAGCTGAATTCTTCTTCTTAGCAAGGTTTAGGCTTGCTTCATGGTTTTTAGCAAAGTATAAAGAGGTTTCTATCTCTAAGGATTCACTTATATATGATCCTTCCTTAGGGGATTCTTGTTCTTTCTACTTTAACCCGATTATATCTAAGTTCCCTTGGTCTCCTCCTCTCAAGGGCTTTATCAAATTAAATGTTGATGCTGCTACTACCAGTGATTGGAAGAGAAGTGGGTTAGGAGGTGTTTTAAAAGATGTTTTTGGTTCGATCTTAGGCTCTTTTAAGGAGTCTGCTGGTCCGGGGCCTCCTATCTTGATGGAATTAAAAGCTATTCAAAAGGGTTTATCGTTCTTTGTCTCTTTTCGTGAGCTGATTAAGGATCGTTTGATTATTGAGAGTGATAGCAGGGTGGCAGTAGACTGGATTAAGAAATGTCCAGATGTTTATGCTTATATTGTTAAAGATATTGTTGAAAGGCTTAGAGTTTTTGAAGGTGTTATTAGATGGGTTAATAGGACAGCTAATCTAGAGGCAGATGCACTAGCTAAGGCTGAAATAGGTTGATTTATGTGTCGTTTTTCTTTTTAGGGATGTTTTTTTTATACTCTATTTCCTTAAGGGAGCTTTAGGGTGTTGTAACTCCTATGTACTTATTATGATTTTAATGAAACTCTAAGGCACTCTTTTCCTCCTTCCACTGATTAAGGAGCTTTTTACGAGCTCCATTAATCATGAAGGGTTTTTTTAATGAGGCCTACTATTCTTATCAAAAAAAAAAAACTTTGGAAAAAAATTATGTTTCGTTTTTAATAACTAGGAAATGCTATTTTCCTTTAATGGTTTAACTAAGTAACATTACCATTTCCAATAATGAACTTCAAATATAGTTTTATAGACAACATTTTGGGAATCAAAGATGTGAAACAGTAGAAAATATACATGGATAGAAGACATTCGGAATTAATTATTCTAGGTCTACTTATTCTTCAAACCATGTCCTATGTTTTTTTAGTATGTTGTTAAGTGATAAGTGATTAATGACTTGCAAGGCAGGGAAGCTGATGATGGGAACTGCTTCTGAACCTGCTGGTTCAATGGGGTTTCTAATTGAGAGAAAGATAGGAACCTAGGTATTTTCATTCATAATTCTTCAACACAGATTAGGACGCTTTATATACTAGGAAATCTGTTAGCTAGATAACTGCAGTTAACAGCTTTTCTTGCCAGATGATACTAATTGCTGCTAAATTGTTAACTGCCGCTAGTTGCCTCTAACAACTTTTGGAGCCAGCGCCGCACCACTGATAACTAACCCGACCAGAAATCTTAGTTCTCTAGTAGCTTCTCACATATTCTCCATATATTATTAAGCATAGATCTGAACTGAAGTCTTCTTTGTGAAGCTTGAATTTCCATGCTGTCTAAGTTTACCATGGATTGAAAAGATCCTAAAGTGAATCAAACCTCACAAAAGAGTGCTAGGTTTTGCAGTGTTTTACATGTTATGGGTGATATGAGAGTAGTAAAAGTAATATAATGGAGAATCGTTCAGATGAGAAATTATACTAAGTTTGTTAATTACTAAATAAAATAACCTAATCAACATCGAATGGTGAATAGGGGAGGCCAAAAAACAGCAAATGGAGTGAGAAATGTATGGGATATGCATATCCCATCAGAAGATTTTTGTTGGGCGAAAAATTCCTTAACATGGGTTATTAAAGATCCCCTTCAGCCTGATATGGTGGTGAGAGCTTTGGCAAAGGAGGGTTTCCAGGTTAAGATAGTAAGGTGGGGTTATGTTAGGAATGCCAGTATAATTATGTTCCATACAAATGAAGAGTTTTTAAAGGCGTGGTCAAGTCTTAGAGAGAAATTCCACTGTTGGTTCGATTGGGTAGATCCTTTGTTGAGTGAAGATGGAGTCCCTTTGGCCTATTGCTTGGTCGAGTTGGTTGGTTTACCGCTTCTTAGTTGGAACGTACCTTTTCTGGAAAAGCTTGGAGGTAAGTGGGGAAAGGTTAGTATAATGGAGGAAACAAGGAATAGAGACGACCTCTCCTCGGCCAGAATGCTGTTAAGGGTTGCAAGCCCTTTTGATATACAAGAATCTGTTATGGTAGGATCTTATGGAAGATCGTTTAAAGTTAAAATTAATGTGGGATCCAGCTATAAACCTAGATCTGAAGCTTTAGGAGACATGAGGCAGATGTGTTCACATGGCAGCTGCAGTGACGATAAGTCAAAGGGGGAAGATGGTGGAAATACAGAAAAGGAAGAAGACAATTGTGAGAACTCAGCAGAAGGATTTTGGTCAAAGGTTGACACGTGGCTTTAGACTAGCCAAGATAGGGGGTTGTCAGAAAAAGGTGGGGAACATTATCTGGAAAACAAGTCTGACTCCCTGCCCAATGCTAATGGGGTGTCAGACAAATTTGAATTTGAATTAAATCCTAGTGGGGATTATGCGGGCCTAGGGCTGCGAGAGGTTGCGGAACAGTCTTCCGGCCCATTCTGATTCTAATTGGGAGTCTTATTCTCCTGTTACTAAAATTATCCCAGCTGGACCTGTTGTGAAGTTGAATTGGGCCAGGTCAGTAATTCAGAATAAGGTTCAGAATCTGTCCGAATTGAGTGCAGAAAAAAGAAATGTTCCATTAGAAGAAGAAATAGAGGGGGAACAGGAAGATGATGGTTTGTTTCTTGGTAAGCTAGTAGAAGGAACTCCGATGCAAGCGGATAATGGTGAAGCGAGAATTTCTGAGCTCGTCGGCTCAAAAATAAGTCCAGCTGGTCCAACAATTAATATAGACAAGTTTGGCAAAATGATCCTCAAGCACAAAAATGTTAACAATGGAATTTCTAATGAAGTAGAGGGTAATGAGTCAGCTTCAGAGAAGGGTCTCCAGGCTGGAGTTAGACAAGTTGGGCAGCAGTTAATGTTGTTAGAGCCAAGTGTTAATATGGCAGAAAGCTTTTCAAGGGGGAGATTGCGGTACAGGAATAAAAGACCATTGTCATCAAAAAGTGTTTCGTTAGAGAGAAGAAAAGCTAGTAGCTATAAGAGGGTTTATTCGAGGTCGAGCAGCAGGAAATTCTGGCATGGAAGTGTTTTGAATGTTAGTCCTCTAAGAGAGGAGGAACGAACCAGTAATGAGGGGATTGTGCAGCCTTCAAAAGTTGTTCAATAGACTGTGGTAGAGGAGGTTAAAAGAGAATTGTCTGAAAGTGATAGATTAAAATTCATTTCGGGCTCCGACTTTAGAAGAGCTAAAAGAAGCTTGCTAAGGGAAGCTTATGATCAGGTGGCAATCTCAACAGCTTCTTCTTCAGATTTTTCTATTTTAGTGGAGGAAGCCTTAGCAACTTGGGAAATCAGCAAGTTATTAGGGGTGTCCTTTAAGCAAGGGAAGGTGGCTTTTCTGGATAAGATTATCAGTTTAGAGAAAGCTTTGAATAAGGTCAATCAAGGTGATCTCCATGGGGGTGTAGATTGTGGATTAATTAATGATGAAGATTAATTTTATCATTGCTTCATGGAA